ATAACCTTATTAGGATGTTATTGAATAAGATTATTTTTGTAGCAACTCTTTTAGGAGAAATTAAGATATGACTAGACTTTAAGTAGCTTGAGAAACAATATGTATAATTTTTTTTAGCAATGGTCTATTTTTTTAGAAGCAATCTTCACTGTATTAAGTTTTCACAGCAGTGTAATATAAATATGAAATTCAAGATTTATGTAACCTCAAAATATGTTCTTTCCTCATATTAACACTAGAAGCAATCCAAAACCACAGTGTATATTTATGTCATCTACTTTTGATTTATAACATGTAATAATGACTTCAGGACCAATTATAAATCAAATGTTGTACCTTGAAGAAGCTTATCAAGTTCTTTGGATCCAGTGGTAATTTGAATAATCTCTGAGCGTCTTTGGTGAAACTCTGTAGCTGTGGTGAATCCCATTGGAACTAACTTTGCTGCTTCAGCCTGCAAATGACAGTGAAATCAAAAGGTTGGTTTTATTTTACAACTCGGTTATTTCATTTGTAATTTTGTGTTAAAACTCTCAGGTTTTGCTATAATCCTTTAAAAATTACAATCAACCACTTGCAAAAAGTATACGATAAAGTAGGCATGCTCCGGGTTTTCTCTCTTAAATGTTGTCACCTAATGGGACCTTGGAGATACTCTTTCTTGATGGCCCTTTGGAATAGCCTCCCACCTGAGATTTGAGGGATCCCTACCCTTTTAGTCTCCTAGTGCGCCATGGAAAGCTGGCTCTCGCCCAAGCATTAGGCTAGGATGGTATTGAGCCGAGAGGATGTTTGGTCTTATATCCTGGGGAGAAGGGCATTTCTATTTTATGAAATGTTATGAGCCACCAAGAATCATTATAGTAGAGGCCCATAGAAGTCAAATCAATGAATCAATAAGATAATACAAATAATACTCAGTGCTGCATATATACATATTTTCTGAAAAGTTTAAAGCTAAGCATCATTACCAGGATTTTATCTGCTTTAGCTTCACTGATGCCTTTAATATTGAGCAATTCCTTCTTTGGTGCATAGGCAACAGCTTCAACTGTGTGAAAACCAGCTTCTTCCAATTTCTTCACATCATTTGCATTTATTCCACATTGCTATAGAAACAAATAATGTTATATAACACATTTAATATAGAACTCAAAGAGTTCTACACCTGTCAAATATAATGATTCAAATGTAATAGGTAACAAAACTAAACAATATTCTAATGTAAGAGTGAGCTCTGCTGAACTATATGAGATTTGGTTCTGCATTCTGCAAAGATACTGTAGCATTTATAATCAGCTTTGTTCATTTCAATCATTTCCATCAATTTAAAGAAACAAAAGCAGAGCTTTAAATTCTTTAGTAAGAATAGTTTTTAGTAAAAAAATATATTCTAACTTTTTAAAAATAAAACCAGTTATTTTTTTAAAAAAAATATTTTATATATTCATTATATATTTACATAATGAATCTATACATAACATTGTCTTCCTTTTTGTGCATAAGCAACAAGTAACAAAAATACGCCTAAGAGTTATCTGTCATATTTATATGGCCTCCCATTTCACAGAAGCAACTCTGGGCAATTTACAATAATAATATATAAAAACAGACTTTATAAAAGTATAAAACCATTATTAAAAATAAAAATACATTAAAAAGTAAAACTCATTTCAATAACACTTAAGATTTGGAAAATATAAAGATTTGGATAACGCTTAATTTAAGTCCTCCTTTTCTCAACTTCTTTTCAAAGGTTGCATAAAAAAGAAACAGGTCACCTGTTGTCAAGGAAAATATTTTATAATATCAGTACTGGTGGCAAGGAGCTTTGTTTCATCCAAAATTTTAAAAAGCTACAATTAATGGTTTCACTGAAACTTACACTGAAACAGTACGCTTGAAAACTATCAATAAAGACCATGGGAATGAAAATACGACTCCAAACAGAGTTTTAGAGTAATACATGTTAGTAATACGTACCTCTAAACGGGAAATGGGCTGAGGACCAAAGCTTTCCTCCTCCCTGGAGATATCTATGCTCTCGTCGCATTGCATTTGCATAGCCATGGCACAAAATATCCGATATTCCTATCAAGAAAGAAAACAACCGAAGTCTGAAAAACATGGCACAAAAGCTAACGGTGTGCAGCTTTTTAAAATGACCTTTAATTTTATAGTCATACGGTAAATAATATCCTGTTATGTTTTCCTACGTGGAAAGTAACCGTATCCGGATGACAACCCACAAGCACAAAAGCTGGAAGTGTTATATGCCTTTCTTGGCATATCGCAGTCATTGACATTGAACAGGAGTAAAAGAGAGATTAAACATTATTAATAGTCCCCGTTTTATTCCTGACCGGAACTAAGACCGCGGTGTACAAATCCCCAAGCAACACCTTTCTCTCCCCAATTCTCTTCTTCCAACACCGCGCGCGAGAGGCCCAAAGGGAGACAGAGGCGGCCTCTGTGGCCTCCAACAGCCGCCGCCTTTCGTGTGGAAACGGAACGAAGCTCGATCGAGCTTTCAAAGGTCGAGTGGTGGTGAATCGAGGCCGCTCGAAGGCCTGACGCAGCCGAGATCCTTCGGACCCCCGAGGCCGACCCGCCTAGGGCTCGTTTGCGTCTTCCACCTCCCGGTTCGGATTAACCCGCCACGGGTCACGTGACCGACGCACAGGCGTAGAGACGTCTCCGCGAAACGTGGGAGGGGAAAACAAAAAACCAAAACCCTCCCCGGTTATCCCTTGCGCATGCGCATTTTCTTGCGGGCTTGGCGGAGTGGAAGGAAAGGGTTTGGTCCGAGGGGAGAGGCGGCTTTCCAAGTTGTCTTTCTTGAAGAATCTTGTAGTTGACTTTGATTGGGGTTCTTTCCTTAAATTCTATCTATAGAGAGCCATACTTTTCAAAATACCAACTTCAACCCGAACCTTTTCTCTTCGTGATTATTCATGTATGCACCTTGTTATCTGGATGGGTGGAACTTCCTGAAACTTTTAAAATGTATGTTGGGAAAGTGATGTTTTAAATAAGAGAATATACACGGTGGTGGTGAATGGCCGTTTATACCTTTTTGTTTGAAGATCAACCCCCCCAAATCCCCACGGAGATTTTGGAATGAGGGTTGCTCATGGGTCTGTTAAAAGGATATTCCCTACCAAAGCAAAGGCGTATATTTCCCGTATTTAGTTACTTCGATAGACGGCAGATCTTACTAACTGAACATCTTTTCCCCTTGAAAATTGCGATAGACGATGGCACAAAGTAAACAGGTGCTAATTTAGACGTTATTTTCTTAGATCTTAACTTTTTTTAAAAAAAGGTTTTTATTCCACCTTTATTACTTTATAAGTAACTCAAGGTAGCCAACTTACACAATATTCCTTCCTGTTTTTCTCCACATCAACCACCCTACCCTGTCAGGTGGGTTTGGGCTGAGAATGACTGGCCCAAAGTCACCCAGCTGTTTTCATACCTAAGGTGGGACTGGAACTCAGTCTCCTGGTTTCTAGCCCCATGCTTTAACTCCTAGTTCAAATTGGCTATTTTACTCCTATGTGTGTCGTGTTCCCCCCAAATGAAGGAGTGTGCTAAATAAACCTGTTCTTGGTGAAATGTATGTGGATGCAACTTGGTTCATACTGCCTTATTATAGTTCTGCTTAAGCCAGTGTTTTTCAAACTTTTGGCCATTTTGAAGATGTGTGAACTTCAACCCCCAAAATTTCCTAGCCAGCTTGTTGATTGGGAATTTCATTGCAAGATGAAAGCCACACATCTTAAAAATGGCCAAGTTTGAAAAACACTGGTTTAAGCTCACTCTGAACTAGGAATCTATGACTGGATGCTGTGTAGTTTTATCTTGCAGAAACCCAAATAATAGGGATTTGTTCAATAAACTATGGCTTAGTACAGTGTGATTATTTCTTTTAACACAAACCTTCTTAAGGTAGGGAAACACCTAGCTTTCCACAATTATACTTCTAAAAACACTGTTAATTACAAACTCAGTATGTGTGATATGGTTACAAGAAGTCATTATTGTAGTTTCTGCCACATGGCTTCCATCCTCTGGAACATGACGGCCCCAAATGTATGATTCAGATCCACCCTTTTGGCCTTCCAAAAAGGCCTGAAAATTCTGCTGTTGGAAGTTAAAACCCATCCCTCTCCTAGGAAAATGAAATATTTTAGGATATACTAAAAAGGCAGAATGTCCCCCCACCCCCAAAAAAGCAGAAACTCAGAGAGGCAGAAACTCAGCCTCCCCACGTTTGCTAATGGACTATTACTCTGGCCTAGGCCAGTCTATTTTACATTACAAAGATCTACTCCAGGTAAAGCTATAATAGGAATTGCCCAAAGCAACCCTCATTACATCATCATCATCCAGCAAGGCTCAAACAAGCCTGGGACTCAGGACAGCCTACAAAGTTGCCCCTGCATGGCCCCATGGGAGTCTGACAACCAATCAGAATGCAAGTCAAATCCCAACAGAGAGTATAAAACCAAGGGACTCTCAGCATTTCTTCCCTTCTTTCTTCACCCAAGGCATGTGCTCCTGTCCACCATTAAACCATCTTTCCAAGCAGTCACCATGTTACCAGTGTCTTTCTTTCCCACTTGGAACTGAATCCAGAAGGATATTTCTTCCGACCTGATGAGTGGCCTGAAGCCCCAACGGAGGCGTGTCATTCTACAGAGAAGACGCCCACCCTCCTCCCCCTGGGCATCTTGCTCCCTTCCATTCCAGGAAAGGGGGCGCAGACGTGAACTATATTCTGATGCAATCTACAGTGATATAAGTCGAATGCCTATTGGGTTGTACATTAAGTCTGCAAAGTAGCACTTGTTTTATTAAGTCGAAATTCAATCATTGCCAAACATTGTAAGTGAAGACACCTTGAGGTCCAGAATGAGGGATAACAATTCAAACATAATATTTTTATACCATCATAACATCAACATTATAATATCACACAATAACCACTGCAGTAAATTCTTTAGACAAAGCAGCAGTCTTAATAGATCACTCCTACCTATTAAGCAGAAATGAGCATGTGCATAAAAGGCTACTAAGGGGAAAATAAAACATAAAAATTTATGGTGTTTATAGAAGCTAGATGTCCCCATCACTGACATCCCAGGAATTAGTGCAGGATGAATTTTCCTGGAGGATCTTTGGAACATGATTACTTGATACCAATATTATATCTTATTTTATACTGTATTGTTATTTTTCATTTTGGTTTTCTATGAATGTATTCTCTTTTCTGATGTTATTGAGTCCATAGGTAGTCCCGGACTTACAACAGATCATTTAGTGACCAAAGTTATAACAGCACTGAAAAGGGTGACTTATGACTGCTTTTCACTTATGATCATTGCAGCATCCCCATAGTCATGTGATCAAAATTTGGATGCTTCACAACTGACCCATATTAATGATGGTTGCCATGTCCTGGCGCCATTTTGCAATCTTCTGACATGAAAAGTCAATGGGGAAGCCAGATTTAATTAACAACTGTGCTACTACAGTTGTTAATTAACTTAACTGCAATGATTCACTTAACAACTGTGGCAAGAAAGATAATAAAATGGGGTAACATTCACTTAACAAATGTCTCACTTAGCAACAGAAAATTTGGGCTCAATTGTGATCATAAATGGAAGACTGCCTGTATTTTTTCTTATTATTTTATTGTATTTTATATTATATTGCAGTTCGCTATGAGTCTAGATAATACAACCACACAAAAATTAAATGATGATGCTACTATCTGTTAAATTGTGACTGATTCTTACGAGTCTCTGGACTAGCTCTATGCACATTTTCCAATCTTGTACAGCTGCTTTCAGCTGTTCTATGCTCTGGCTGGTGTCAGCTTTGATGATGTGTAGCCACAATTTTTTGTGTGTGGCCTCCTTTCCTTTTACTGTTGATTATTCTGAGCATAACTGCCTTTTCCAGTGTGTTTGATCACATGACATGACTGAAAAGTTGTGATTTTGCCTTTCAGTGATAAGTTTTATGCACTCTAGTACTTGTTTGCAGAGGAGTCTTCTCTGACACTACAGCTCAAGCAAATTGGTTTTCCTTCTAACTTTTTCATAGCCAACTTTTGCTATTCTCTGTAGCTATGGGAAATATGATGGTGTGGACTAAGCTACGTTTAATTGCCAGGCTGATATCCTTGCTTTTCCATACTCAGTGTATTCAAATTAAATAAGTGTCAATTACATTTCATTAGGATTTATTTGTAGGGACATGTAACATCCTCGTATAAATTAAAACAATTGAAAATAGGATGGGGGAATAATAGAAAAGGTAACAAGAAAAACAGGCAAAAGCATTACTAAACAGGACATGAATAAGAGGAAAATACAGGAAGTAAAGCAGTGCATAAAAACATATTGAGGATTTAAGAACAAGGGAATTAAAAAATTTTGTTTACTTATATTTGCAGATGTGTGTATGGTTCTGAACAGGAAAAATGCAAAATCTATAAAAAGTAAAGTTTTATACTATACTCCATTAAACTAATATTTGTTTTCTATGATAAAAAGTATAAATATTATTGAACACTGGACCACAATGATTCTATGACACATGCTGTTAACCTTTTTTCATCTGGATGCATAACATTTTGCATAGTTCAATTCTACTTATAAAAGCTTTTTTACAAAATCTTTTTTCTCTTTTCATAAAATTGGAATGAAATAAAGGTAGAGTGTTTTACCCAACTTTTTAAATGTTAACAGAAACATTCTAAACAAATTACAAAATGTGATCCACACAATTTAGAGGGAATAGGTTTTTTAAAAAAAATAATAATATGCAAAATATTTTTTATTTCTTTAAAAAAAATTAAAATTAAAAAATGAAATAACATAGCAAGTAAATATTGAATTTAAGTGTTGGCAGTGTTTTTTTTCATTTCTAAATCACTACCAAAATGGTAAAAGTATTACTGTAAACTTTATTACACTTTTCTTTTTGACAAAATACTAAAGTTAAAAAACACTCAAACATCAAAAAGCATTTAAATATGCAATATTTTACATATAAACATAATTTGTCCACCAACAAAATATTAGACAAGGAAAAAATCCTAGAAGTTTTGTTATAAGAATATCAACATTACAGATACAAGATGAGCCTGCACAAAGATGCAGGCACAAATGTCTGCTGCCTTCACTGAAACTGAAGACTTTCCTCAGTCAGTATAATGGAATAAAATTTTAGTACATCCTATGATCATTTCGAAAAGATTAGGAGACTGATCCAATATTCTACATCCAACGTTCAATTCCTTAAGTGCCTCATAGATAGGACTCAAAAGCGCCTCTTACTCATCTTAGCATCCCTTCCCTGCAGTATATGTTTCAAAATTACATCAACTGCAATGTAGTTTCCTCTATTATAAAATAGTCTCTCAGAAATAAAAGGCAGCGCCAAGCACTAGTGAAAAAAATACAGAAAAACAACAATAGAGGAACCACTTTACAGTTTTGCATTATAGTTTTCTGCTTTTCTATAGTTTAAACAAAGATGTAATCACTCTAGTACTGCATGCTTGATAGTTGACATAAATTTTCCA